GTGAGTGTCAGCACGCCCCTTCGTTTGCGCCGCGGCTCCTGCGGGCGCTGGAGCCGCAGGGGGGAGGAGAGGGAGCTGGGAGGGCCGGGAGGCGGCGGCCGCGAGTCCGCTGCGCCGCCGGGAGGGCAGGGAGGGCGGACCGGAGGGCGCCCGGGCTGTGTCAGGCGTCGAGGTAGATAAATAGACGACCTTATCCGAACGCCGATCAATTAACAACCGCGTATCGGGAATATAAAAATCACTACCCATGTTTTCCCACTTCTCCGACTTGCACCGCGGCGCTAAGACAACACGTCAAACATTCCCCTGCCGCTTCCCCTCTTAAGAAATGCCCACAACAACACGCCAACAACAACAGCAAAAGCAACAACGACCGTCTACCCCAACGACCCTCTCGTTCGTGCTCAACGATCGTTAAAGTGCCGCGCGTGCTTCGGCAATCACGGAACGGAACGAAGGCACGGTAACCCCCTCTTAAAAAAAAAAAAAAAACAAAAATTAAATAAATAAATAGATAAAATAAAGAATATAGAGACAAAAAAAAGAAACATAAAACAAATTAAAACGATAATATAAATCGCCCCCAAAAAATTCGATAACGATTTTGGAAACCACCACCAACCACCACCCCGTGTTATGCTGTAACGAGACAAATATTTTGCACGGGTGTGTGTGTGCACGTGTCTCTCCCTCCCCCCCCCCCCCTGTGTCCTCTGCCCGTGTACTTGACAACCGCTGTATCGCAACTACAAGTGTATTTGTCTAGAGGACGAAGGAAAAGTCAAACGTGCAGATGTTTCTTGTTAAACTGTCTGTCTGGAAACAAGTGTGTTGGCGACATGTGTAATTCAATATTTATTTCAACTTTGTATGTGTGTAATATATTCATAGAAGAGAGAGAGAGAGATGGTTAAGGGGAATGGAAAGGCAAACTCATTACCTTAGGACATAGTAATGATGTTATGATAATATTGATAATAATTATAATGATAATAATAATAAAATTAATATAATGTAGTAATGATGATATAATAATAGTAATGATGATAACAATGATAATAATAACGGTACGATAACGATAGTGATAATAAAAACAATGATAATATTTAATGATTCAATAATAATAATAATAACGATTCAATAGATCCTATATCCTTCGGGAAAAAGAAAATAAGAAAAAACGACCAGGGCGATAATTTTGGAAAATATTCGATAGACGAAAAATCGGCCTCTTTATGGAAAGTGCGCTCTTAAAATCCTTAAGTGGGATTTGCGGACTTTTAATAATCGCCATTCGGATTCATTTCCCCGTGCTTAAGAAGTGGTAATAAAGTGAAACCGGATATTAAAACCCGCCCCCAAAAAAAAGAAGAAAAAAAAGTATATATGAACCAGAAGTAGATTGATAATAACGATGATGACGATGATAATAGATCGGAGTGAGATATTAATGGGTAGATAGCTGTGCGTAGAATATTTGTACAATTATTTTGTTTCCAACATGCTTGGTCGGTGAAACGTGCATCTAATTCATAATTGATCAATTTATCATATCATCCCAGTAATATTTGCGAATAAGCGGTAACTTTCCATCGCATTTCAACACTAAACTAAAAAAATAAAAAATAAAAAAAGATTGGTATTTCAACCGATAGTATGTGTCATTCGCGAGAAAGAGATATAAAAATTAGAATAGATATAAAAATTCATATCTGGATCGTAGCGAACGGAGAGACACAGCGTGCGATAAGGAGAGGAGGAGAGGAGGAGGGGTGGTGTAACGGGGAGGGGAAAAAAGTAGAGGAGGGGAGGGAGGGAGGGGGGGATAGAGAGAGCAAAGGGGAACGGGAAAGAGGGGAGAGGAGAGGAGAGGAGAGGAGGAAGGGGTGAAGGGGAGAGGGGAGGGGGGAGGGGACTGAAGGGGTGGTTAGGGTAATATTTCTGATTTTTGTGCACTTTCAGGGTCGGTTTATCGTGGTTCCGAGAGAGCGCCGACGAGGGGGTGGGGGGTGGGGTAGGAGGGGAGAGGGGGAGATCGGCGCTGAAAATGATGAAGAGCATAATAGACGTCGATAATGATAGCGTTAAGTATGATGATTAGGAGAATGGAAACAGATTGATAAGTGAAGCATTGGAGATAATGATATTGAGAAGGATAATGATAACAATAATGATAATGATAATTATTAAAGGTGATAGTTACGATAATAATAATAGTTAAAATTATAATTGCTATTATAATAACGATAATAACAATGATGATGAGCGTAACAATAATGATAATGATACCGATAGTGCTAATTATCACATTAATAATAAGGTTGAAAATATTAATTATGATAGTAATAATAGAAACAACAGTAATAACGATGATAACAGTAACAATAATGATAGTAACATTGTAAAAATGCCTATGATAATGAGAATAATAAAGATAAAATGATAACAATGACAATAATAATAACAATGGTAATAATAATGTTAATGATAATAACAATGATAATGATAATGACAGTAATAATAACAATGAAAATAGTAATACCGATGGTAATGATAATGACAGTAATGATAATCATAATCATAATGATATTAATAATAATGGTAAGGATAATATTGATAATAATTATATTTCTACCAATGATAATCATAAAGATAATAGAAATGCGGAAAATAATAATGCCAATGATAATGATAGTAATCATGATAATGACTGTAATAACGATAATAATAAATAGTAATAATGATAATAATAATAGTAATAATGATAATAATAATAGTAATAATGATAATAATAATTATAATTATTATAATAGAATTAACCATTTAATAAAAAATGATAATGATAGTAACAGTAATAATCATAATGGTAATAATAGTGACAATGATAATAATTATACTAGTATTATAATAACTGTTATTTTTAAGATCATTATTACTATCATTTATGATTATTACTATCATCATTATTCTTTTATCGCGAACAGTATTACTATTGTTAGCATTATTATCAGTAGTACTGTAATTCTTATTATGAAATATAAAATTCTAATAATTGCTGCAAAAAACATAACAATCATTATGACGATAATAATGACTGTCATATATAATGATATCAGTAAATAACCCTGACGATGTTAAAGGTGTAGGAAATATTGAACAAACTGATAATTACACTAAAAAGGATAATGATAATAAGAATAGTATTAACAACAAAACACCAAGAATAATATTGATAATAATAGAAATAATAGTAATGATATTGATGATAATGCCAATGATAATGATAATAGTATTTATAATGAAATAATTATTACTATAGTGAGTGATAACGATAATGATGATATGGTTGTAACGATAATGATCATGATGATATAATAATTATTATAGTGATGATAATGACAATGATAATGATAATGGTAGTAATAATAATTATAACATAATGATAGCAATGATAGTAACAATAATAATAAAGGTAATGATAATAGTAATAAGGATAATGATAACAAGAAAAAGGATATGAATAGCAATGATAATAATAAAGGTAATGATAGAATAGTATTGATAACAATAATCATAATAATAATGCTATAATTATCATAATCATAATAATAAATATAACGATGCTAATAACAACGATAATTATAATAAGCACAACTACACAACCACAATAAAAAATAATAATTTCCAAAACAATACCACCACCAATACCCTCAATAAAACCCCGACGCGCGCGCGCCACGTACGCCCAGACCCCCACCACCCCCCTCCACCCTGCCCCCCTCGCCACCAGATCAGACGTGCTCGCTCCTGCATACAAAACACGCGTTATTATTAAGTCCGGCGTGGTCCTCAGTCAAGGCTTATAATAGCCAAGGAAAAGGGGTCTGACATCGGGGGGAGGGGTGAAAATGTTCGGTGGTACTTCGGTGGTGTTGCGGGGGGAAGGGGAAGGGAGAAGGGTGGAAGGAAGGGGGAATGGATGGATGGAAGAAGGGTGGAGGGGAGGAGGGGTAGGGGAAAGATAGAAGGGAGGAGGTGGGAAGGAGGGAAGAGGGGTGGAGGGTTGGGGAAGAATAAAGAGGGGTTAGGGGAGGATAAGAGATGAAATGGAGGTTGGGGAAGAAGCGGCAGAGATAGAAAGATGGAGGAGGAAGAGAAGAAAAGTTTTAAAAAAGGGAAAGAAAGGACGAAGATCAACAGAAGAGGAAGAAAATAAAGGACGAACGAAGGAGAAAAGCCAAGAAATATACATCGATCCATCAATTCTTTAAAAAGAAACACAGGAAAAGAAAGAAGCTAACCATAAGAAAAAGGGCGTGAAGGAGAGAGAAGAAAAGGGACTAAATACCAAGAGAAGGTGCGAAAGAGGGAGGAGAAAGGGAGAAAAGGGAGGAAGAGGTTGTGGCAGCGACGGTGACGACTATCTTGCTTCTGTAATTAAGTTGGGCGGCGGTGGGCGGTGGGCGGCGGCGAGGGAAGGGCGAGGGGTTTCATTATCATTACTGTTGTTTTTATTATTATTATTATTACCATTAGCATTATTAGTATTAGTATTATTGCTATTGTTATTATTGATATTATTGTTATCAGTATTATTGTTGCTATTATTATTATTATTATTATTATTATTATTATTATTATTATTACCATTATTAGTATTGGTATTATTACTATTGTTATTATTGATATTACTATTATTATTGTTATTATTGCTGTTATTATTATTATCATTATTATTATTGTTGTTCTTATTATAATTATTATTATTATCATTGTTATTAATATTATTATTATTATTATTGTTACTACTACTATTGTTATTTTTATCAGCATTATTATCATTATTATTATTGTTGTTGTTGTAATTATAGTTATCATCAACATCATTCTTTGCTTCGGTATTGAGGCATATTCCTTTTTTTTCTTTTTATTGTTTTCGTTTAAAGAAAAAATGCTATTGCATTCGTTATGGGAAAATATGGTGATGATAATAATAATGA